ACATCCAAATGCACACACAAACTCACAGAGACCTAGGATGAACACTTTAAAAATACTTGCCACACCTTTCAGGCACTTCAGGGTACCACTTGAAGCAGGGCCCACTTGAGCAGCTAATAAAATGGTAGAAAAGAGAAAAGAGTTCAAAGTAGGGAAAACAGAAAGGTCTGACCTTTCCATCTGCTACTGACACTTGGTGCTGTAGAGAAGCTGTGGCAAGGGATGAGAAGTGGTCTCTCCCTCTGTGTGCTTCCTAGAACAGGGCATGGGAAGCCAATAAGATTCCAGCAGTCTCCCTCTTGCAGCAGGCCCACCATATCTTGCTGCCTAACGCCAAAGATGGCAGCCTATTGTATGTACAGACGCCAACTGGGCCGACGGTTGAATCATATTTCAACACTGGCAATAGGACATCCACTGTCACACTTCAGAGAAACAGAAATAGTGGAGGGTGTTTGTTTTGTTTTTTTGCAGGGGGAAACAGACCAAGTGGGACCCAGAGCTCTCTCCTCTACCAGAGGGAAACAGCTGAGGGACAGTCACAGCTGCCTCTGAACATCTGCTTCCTGAGGAAAAGGGTTCAATTTGGCTAATGACAGGGCTAGTCTTGGACATGGGACAACCTATCAGGAGTGGCTGCCTCTTGTCTTTCTTCCACTGTGGCTGAGCCGATGAGGAATCAACCCTGAGAGCAGAAATACATTAACATAAGAAGAGCCTTGCTGGGTCCGACCAAAGCCCCATCAAGTCCACCTCCCTGATCTTTCAGTGGCCAACCAGATGTCTGTGGGAAGCTCACAAGGACGACATGAGCACAACAGGACTCTCCAAATTATCGAGCCCCAACAACTGGTATTCAAAGGCATATTTCTTCCGATCCTGGAGGTAATATGTAGACCACGGGTAGGCAAACTAAGGCCTGGGGGCCAGATCCGGCCCAATCGCCTTCTAAATCCAGCCCGCGGACAGTCCAGAAATCAGCGTATTTTTACATGAGTAGAATGTGTCCCTTTATTTAAAATCCATCTCTGGGTTATTTGTGGGGCCTGCCTGATGTTTTTACATAAGTAGAATGTGTGCTTTTATTTAAAATGCATCTCTGGGTTATTTGTGGGGCATAGGAATTCGTTCATCCCCCCCCCCCAAAAAAAAATATATAGTCCAGCCCCACACAAGGTCTGAGGGACAGTGGACCGGCCCCCTGCTGAAAAAGTTTGCTGACCCCTCATGTAGACATTGTAACTAATAGCCATTGATCTCATTCTCCGCCTCCATGAATCTGTCCAGTCTGCTTTTAAAGCAAACAAAGTTGGTCGCCATCCCATTGGCCCTATTGGCCGTATACATTTGAAGCAGTATCATCCTGCTTTAAACAGCTATGGCTTCTCACAAAGCATTCTGGGCACTGTGATTTGTTTGCTGAGAGTAGTACTCCCCTCACAAGCTACAATTCCCATACCTCACTGGGAAGAAGGGTTGACTGTTGAACCACTCTGAGAATTATAGCTGTGAGGGGAATAGGGCTCTCCTTAACAACTCTAAGCACCCTTAACAAACTACAGTTCTCAGGATCCTTTGGGGGAAGACCTGATTGCTCAAAATGGTAGGATATTGATTTAAATGTATAGTGTAAATGAGGCCTATATCTTTTAATGGAAAATTCCATTATGCTCTGTGTGAAGAAGTATTTTGTTGGGAGAGAACCTATCCTGAAATCCCAGAGAGCTACTCAGCTAATTAGGTACAAGGCACTTTTCTAAGCTTCTGTACTAGATGTCTCCTATCCATATTCTCACTGACACTCTCAACTCTACAAGGTTAGTTAGACCTCTTAAGGAGAAGGTGCTGTTGAGTTCCATTCAATTGGAGAAGAAAGGCTGTGGGCCGAAAACTGCACAAAAAACTTATTTGGGAGTTTTTAATAGCGGCTTTTCCAGAGGTCTAGAATTCTCCCCATGCTAACTTTTCATCAGAGAGTTAACGTCCTACATAATCAAGGCTACTTTGAAATTTTTATTCATTTGTACTGGATAACCTTCCACCAATTCCATAAGGCCTATGACAATTGCCCCAATCCTGCAACTTGCGTAAGTATGATAAGTGCAGCTCAGCAGTGCTACAAGAAAATGTAGAACCTTATATACTGTTGGGGACATTGTTGTTGTTGTTGTTGTTTTAAAAAATGGGGAATGAATGTGTACTATTGATTTTCATATTTTAATTGTGTTATCAAAAACACAATTAATGGTTTTCCCCCCAAGAAAACAACAAGTACAACGCTATCGCTCTCTGTATATTGGAAGCATAGAAATAGGAAGAAGAGGTGTTGTAAGAGCACTGCTATGTCTCTGAAATGTATTGCCTGTATCAGCTCTTTTTTGCAGGAATCGCCATGCAGAATTATGGCTGTCCTTCCAACGTGGATCCAAATTTATATCAGGCTGCTGTTTCCTCCATCTGATATAGAGCAAATATTAACATTGTCTAGAAGCGCCTTCTGTCCCTTCTAGTAATCCGCTTCTCCCTCAGAGGAGCCTAATAAAAATGCGGTTGCTGTGGTAATTGTTATATTATGTTCAGAAAAGTGCCAAGAATATAATTACTTGCAAAATGACTTCACAGTTCAACTTTAATATACATGGTAGAACTGTTGGGTAGTAAAAGACAAGGAAAACCGGGTAAACAAGTCTATTTAGTGGTAGTATCTTTATTAAATTAAACTTTTAATAGTATCACTGTGTTTACAGTACATTAACTAGTCACAATTTTTAATGTTTGCCGTTTATATATATATATATATACCCAAGCCACCAGAAGATGGATTCCTTAAGAATGTTCTCCCAGGTATGTGTAGAATATTAATTAGGACTGTCTATTTTGGTCGGATAATAACAATGTCCAACAACTGAATGGAATCTGTGACCTGTGAAAGAACCATTCATATGCTTTAGACTGCCTTGGAGCATTATTTAACAAGTGAACATGGAACTTTTTCACAGTGATCCCAAACGTTTCAACTGTGTATTTCATGGTTTGGTTGTTGTTGTGTCTCAAAAAACACACACAGAGATTCGCTCTCCACCCCTACCCCCACGCTCTTGGGAAGGATTCCATGCTTGCTCTCACTTAAATAAATGCTTTTTAATGCTTTTTTATACGATCGTTTCTGCTATGATACCTATGGGCTTTCGATTGTAGTACTGGTAACCAGCGGATGTGTTCCAGCAATTGAATGTCTTCATCTTAAATCTTTAGGGCTGCACAACACCACCTTTAACAATCAGCCGTAATTAAAAAGCCGCAGTTCAAATTGTGTAAGGGATAAGTAAATTTCATTTTAAATACTGTAGTCAGGATTAAGGGGTTTTCTCACTGGGATGCCTGTGGGCTCTCCACCCCGCCCCCCCGCTTCCTTCTTCTTCTTGACTTCAGGCTGTATCATTTTTCAATGGAGAGCTAAGAATAATGGCCATTTACTGTAGCAATTTCTAGAAGTATTTCAGTTTATCAAAGATGTTTCTCACGACTGACAGAAGCATATGGTTCACTTGCAGTTCCTGTAAGCATCCCATGGGGCATGTTTCTCCATCCACAAAAGCACCATCAGAGGTCTAACTAGCTGATATTTGTCCTAACTAGCAGACAAGTCAAGTCCCCATAGGGAGTAGGGATTCAATGGACAGGGAGAATCAGCTGTCTCCAGCTATGCCACATGGGCTCTCAAGGGCAGCTTTGTGAGATACAACAGGCACCAAAAGTGATCCCCTGTCCTTGCCTTCTCAAATATGTTGTTCCATCTTTTACAATGTTACACTGAAATGAAATTCTGGGCACGGTGTGTGTGTTAATTTGCATTGGGAAGTACAGCAATTACTGTTCTTCTGGGCTTAATGGTCTTTCAGATCCCTCATCTTTAGATGGTAATATGCATAACTTTACAGTAGTACCTTGGGTTACAGACGCTTCAGGTTACAGATGCTTCAGGTTACAGACTCCACTAACCCAGAAATAGTACCTCGGGTTAAGAACTTTGCTTCAGGATGAGAACAGAAATCGCGGCACGGTGGCAGCGGGAGGCCCCATTAGTTAAAGTGGTACCTCAGGTTAAGAACAGTTTCAGGTTAAGAACGGACCTCCAGAACAAATTAAGTTCTTAACCCAGGTACCACTGTACTTTCTTCAAAAGGGGAACCAGCCCTGCTGCCTTTGGAGAGGCCTACTCATTCTCTTGACCTCTGCCCATGGATGGGAAAAGTTTCCAGAGAACCAGGCTCTCAAAAGGTATATTTTGCTTCATTGTGAAAGACACGTCAAGCCCCTTTCAGATGATCTTCTCAGCGTGTTCACTCTATGCACGGGGAACAGGACGTGGTGGCGCTGTGGTCTAAACCACTGAGCCTCTTGGGCTTGCCGATCAGAAGGTCGGCGGTTCGAATCCCCATGATGGAATGAGCTGCCATTGCTCTGTCCCAGCTCTTGCCAACCTAGCAGTTCAAAAGCATGCTAGTGCAAGTAGATAAATAGGTACGGCTGCGGCGGGAAAGTAAACGGTGTTTCTGTGCGCTCTGTCTTCTGTCACAGTGTTCCATTGCGCTAGAAGAGGTTTAGTCATGCTGGCCACATGACCTGGAAAGCTGTCTGTAGACTGGACTGGTCTGTAGCCGCCTTTGACTGGACTTAACTGTCCAGGGGTCCTTTACCTGATTGTGCCACCAATCCATAATGGCTGTGAGTCACTGTTAGAGCCTTCTTCAACTGTCACCCCCCTCATGGGATCATGAGGCACAAGCTAGCCCAGCACCCTCCATCGTACCCTCATTACCTGCCCCCACTGCTCCCCACATATTGGGGACTGCATGCTTGTTGTGAAGATCCTCAAGAACATAAGAGGAGCCTGCTGGATCAGGCCAATGGCCCATCTAGTCCAGCATCCTGTTCTCGCAGTGGCCAACCAGATGCCTGTGGGAAACCTGCAACTTTATTGGAATTCTAGTGCTCCAGCTAGGCTAGCTCAGTCAGTAGCACATGAGACTCTTAATCTCAGGGTTGTGGGTTCAAGCCCCACGTTGGGCAAAAGATTCCTGCATTGCACGGGGTTGGACTATAGATGACCCTTGTGGTCCCTTCCAACTCTACAATTCTATGATTCTATGAGAGAGGGGGGGAAACCTTTATCTACTCTATGCCAGGCAACATTATATAATTTTTTTCATATCACCACTTGCTTTCCTTTTCTCTAAACTAAAAAGTCCTACATATTGCAACCTTTCCTCATAGGGGAGTTGCTCCATCCCATTGGTTTTTTTGGTTGCTCTTTTCTGAAAAGTTCTCAATATTCGTTTTGAGGCGAGGCGACCATACCTTCTCTGCTCATGTATTCTTCCTGTGCAATTTAGAATCCTGATTATAATAGTAATATAATAAGAATTTATTATTTATACCCCGCCCATCTGGCTGGGTTTCCCCAGCCACTCTGGGTGGCTTCCAACAGAATATTAAAATACAATACAGTGGTACCTCGGGATGCGAACGGGATCCGTTCTGGAGCCCCGTTTGCATCCTGAACAGAATGTAAGATGCGATGGCACGTCTGCACGTGCACGGGTCGTGTTTTGCCCCTTCAGCGCATGCGCGTGACATAATTTTGAGCGTCTGTGCATGTGCAAGCGGCGAAACCTGGAAGTAAGGCGCTCCGTTACTTCTGGGTTGCCACAGAGCGCAACCCAAAAGCGCTCAACCTGAAGCAAATTCAACCCGAGGTATGACTATAGTCTATTAAACATTAAAAGCTTCCCTAAAGGGCTGTCTTCAGATGTCTTCTAAAAGTCTGGTAGTTGTTTTTCTCTTTGACATCTGGTGGGAGGGCATTCCACAGGGCGGGTGCCACTACCGAGAAGGCCCTCTGCCTGGTTCCCTGTAACTTGGCTTCTTGCAGCGGGGGAACCGCCAGAAGGCCCTCGGCACTGGACCTCAGTGTCCAGGCAGAACAATGGGGGGTGATTGTATGACAGGCTCCTGGCAGGAGACATTCACTCTACAATGTGTGGAGTGGGAACAGGAGACACGGATGTGATGGAAGGGACAGGGTCAATTGCCTTGTCTCTTCTTGCCCCCCAACATGATTCTAATCTTGTGGCTTGTGAGCAACCAGTGTCTTGAAGATATGGAGTGGTTAACATACATTTGTGAGTTTGCCCATGGATCTTCTCTTCTGGGATGATAACTGACATTTGCTGGATCACTTTCAGCCTCTTTCCTAGTTCACATTTCCCCACTGTCACAAAGCGATAACAGCCACTCGATAGGCCGTTTCAACCCCCCTTTCCTTATTCTCGCTCCCGCTTTAAAAACAAAAAACAAAAACAGCAACCATCGCCACTCTCTGTTCATTAAAGAAAATGTTGCAAACCCTGTGATTCTGCAGAAGAGGAACATATGAAAATATTTGTTATAGCGATCAAATTTATTTTGGATTGCCTTGAGAACAGAAGGTCAGAGACATAAGGGTCTGTCTGATAATATTAGTTTGGAAAGTATTACAAAATTGCTGTGTGTGTGTGTGTGTGTGTGTGTGTGTGTGTGTAAGAGAGAGAGAGAGAGAGAGACGGGAAGAGAGAGTGAGAGAGAGTCAATGCTGTTAACTCCGTGTTCTCCATGACATGTTAAAAAGGAAACTGTTGTATTGAAATGAAATAACTGACTCCAGGCAGGTCAACGCGGTCAATTTTGTCTCTCCACCATGCTCTCCAGGGATGCATCATGCAGAGAATGTTTCATATTAACCGAGCTTTCAATGGAGGCAGCTGCTACTTCTCAGGAATGATTCCTGTTATCACGGTGGCTGCAAATTGTGTTGCTGTGATTACAGAAATTGCCGCTAAAAAAGTGCAAGTGTTATCAGTCGAGATTCCAGTCTGTATGGGAGATTTGCTGTGTGTGAATGCATCCCCAGGGAGCCTCAGGGAGCCTTTGCGTGGAGACAAAACTGACTGTGTGAACAAGCAACCCCTCAGTCTGTCTGACCCAATATCTTTGGTGTATATGCATAGGATTGACTGTGCACATAGAATTAGACTTTAGAAGCAACTGTTTTTCAGGAGATCTCTCTTTGCTAATTTGTTGTTTTTCACTAGGGAATGAAAAGTCTTTCCGGTCCACAAAGAATGATAATCAGTTGTTAATTCCCTAAGATTGATCCATGTATTCCAGATGAGAGTCTGTCACAAGCAAGGAGGAAGTTGTGATGTGGTGCTGCTTGGTGGCAGAGTACAAGGAATCCCTCAGAGATGTACCTTGTTCTCCAGCTGCAGCAGCAACAGAAGATTCAGTTATGCTCTAAGATTTGGGGCTTTATTGCTGGAGCTGTCACTGAACCAGAAAGCAAGGAGCATGAGATTGTTTCCTGGCTGGTAAAGGTAAAGGTACCCCTGCCCGTACGGGCCAGTCGTGTCCGACTCTAGGGTTGCGTGCTCATCTCGCTCTAGAGACCGTGAGCTGGCGCCGTCCAAAGACACTTCCAGGTCACGTGGCCAGCGTGACGAAGCTGCTCTGGCGAGCCGGCACCAGCGCAGCACACAGAAACGCTGTTTACCTTCCCACTATAAAGCGGTCCCTATTTATCTACTTGCACTTAAGAGTGCTTTCAAACTGCTAGGTGGGCAGGAGCTGGGACCGAATGACGGGAGCTCACCCCGCCGCGGGGATTCGAACCGCCGACCATACGATCGGCATGTCCTAGGCACTGAGGTTTTACCCACAGCGCCACCCGCGTCCCCTTCCTGGCTGGTAGTTTTCTACATTTCTTCTCTAGCATCTGCAACTGACCATAAATGGAGATAGGATGGATCATGGGCTTGATCCAATTAAAATGGATGGATCATGGGCTTGATCCAATTAAAATGTTCTCATCATACAACCTAAGAAGAGCTGAACCCTTACGCTACTGCTTGCAAGATGTATATATTATTCTTTTCTGAACTCTTTCAAGTTTCACCCCACTTCTTTTCCTCACAAAGTTTGAAGGGCTAGGCTTATCCCTGATGCAACTGCTATTTTTATGTTGAAGCTGACCAGTACCTTGGCAAAGATAAATGCAGCCCTGTTGTATCTTTGTGTACTATTTCTTTGTCTCCATATAGATTCTCTGGATTTCTAATGGGAATATCTAACAGGAAATGCGTTTTGTTGACTGTGGCTCATAAAACATGTCCTTTCCTACCCCAGTTATTTTTGTCACTTGTGAAAGCTCATCGTGCAATAGATAAACTGTCAAAAATAATTAAGAAAAATGCTGATATACGCCCATGGCAAAGAATTATACTTTTTGATGGTGGCTGTTTTCATCGTCCAGAGTCAGTCCCTTGACAGATATAAATACAGGTGTTATCACCTCATTGCAGATGATGATGATGTTCTGAATCAATGCCGACAAAGGCTGCTGTTTGGGAAACATTCAGTATGGAGGAAAGTGATATATATTAGGAAGGTGGGGAGACGAATGCAGAACAGCATTGAAACAGGTCCATAAAACTTATGTATACTGTAGGGATTGCTGGTGTTTTTTTTAATGTAGACAATATTAAATTATCCAGTTTGCATAATATGCCTGTTGACAGTAAAACTGCACTGATGATGAAACCCTGTAAAATGCCAAACTCTGTAAGTATGTGAACATACTTTATATTTTAGGCGATTTACAGTTTGAGGTTTAGTTTCTGAGCTAATAGGTGTATAGGCAGTAAACTGCCACATGCAGACCTTAGTTGCTATTTAGATCATTGGGTTTCTACATTTTTGAAGTAAGCCCTTCCACCCATGAGGGGTTTTTTTTGCTTGTTTTTTAAACCCTACACAAATCTATACCATAAATTCTGAAAGGAAATGGGTTTTTGATTGGATTTATGGCATCAGATTACAGTAAATGGCTAAACAGTTATAGGATTATAGCCTTTTGCATTTGATAGGAAATACTGGAAGAGAACCCATAATTCTGAAGGGAAGCCTTGAGTCTTAGGGGCTTTAATCTCTTACCGAAGGATGTTAGAAAATTAAAAAGCAAATGCATTTACAGCTGGAATCAAAGAGCCACTGAACTGAGGCAGCAGTTTAGAGGAACCAGTGAAAAGAAGGGTGCATTTGGATGTGGGAAATACTGCGCTAGTGTCCCTGGCAATAACGCCAACACTTCTGCCCTGTTACCCAATGTCCACTTGACACAGCTGAGTGACAATGAAGAAGAAGAAGAAGAAGAAGAAGAAGAAGAAGAGGAGGAGGAGGAGTTTGGATTTGATATCCCACCTTTCACTCCCTTTAAGGAGTCTCAAAGCGGCTAACATTCTCCTTTCCCTTCCTCCCCCACAACAAACACTCTGTGAGGTGAGTGGGGCTGAGAGACTTCAAAGAAGTGTGACTGGCCCAAGGTCACCCAGCAGCTGCATGTGGAGGAGCGGAGACACGAACCCGGTTCCCCAGATTAGGAGACTACCGCTCTTAACCACTACACCACACTGGCACCACACAATGACTAGCAGTGGCTCTCCGGGCGTTCAGGCAGGGGACACTCCCAGCCCAACTGGGTGCTCCCAAGGTTTGGATTACTGAGCTACAGCCCTTATTTGCTGTACCTTCTTGATAAGGGCTTTGTTGTTCTTTTACCCACCCTTCCACTGCAAGGAGCGTGTGGTATTGTACATGGTTCTGCCTCCAACCCTTCACAACAGCTCCATGAGTTAGGTTAGGCAGACAGATAGTGACTAGGGGTTGGGGTGGTGGTACCCAGGTTGAACCAGCGTGGGTCAACTTGATGTCACCTGTATTGTAGCCACGGGACATATAATGTTGTGTGTGTGTGTGTGTGTGTGTGTGTGTTCAGAGACTTTCTTATATTTTTACCCATTTTTATGATGCATTGAACAATTTAAAATACAGAACGATTGAATGTATAAAAAATAAATAAGGAGTGAGTATTATATTATATTATATTATAATAATAATAATGTGTAATATTATATATATATTCTGATATATATGTGTATATATGTGTGTGTACACACACAGGAATATATAGATATATATGCACACACACATACATATACATATACACACACATATAAATATGGTACATATACAGTACATATACATATACATATACTTCACTTATTAGTACTCAGAACATTTGGGATGTACAGTTTTTCTCACTTCTTCTCCTTTCATTTTCGTATCATGTGCTTGTTTGTTTTTGAAATGCACCCTTTGGTTGGAAAATGTGCAGACAATGAATGAAAGCATCTTGAGTTCAAAGTATTCTTGTTTTCATTTAAATCCTTCCTATCACCTGCTGTTTGTTGCTCTTTGCTTACGGCATGAATCCCCCTGGATTTCAGGAAACCTAACTGGTCCTCTATAAACTGCCTTGACTATTCGTTTCCCATGTATTCTTCTGTCCCCATAGCTTCTGATGTGAAACAGATTTTACTTTTCTAGAGAGTAGAGGTCAACATGAAAGCTTCTTCTTTAAAAAAAGAAAAAAAGAAAAAAGAAATCACTCTGGCATTCAACTTTTCAGTTTGTTATGTTCTGCTTTCTACTATACTTTAGAATTATGTCACAAATATTAAGCAAAAATTCTGCATTAAGTTCTAAATTTCATTTTTGGGTGGGAATGTTGCAATTACCATGCCATTCAGGTGGTAAGTTTACACGGGTATCTCATGAGATTTTGAGAAAATGTCATCTTTGATGTTCATCATAGCATTTTATAGAAACTAATTGGGAAATACAATCTCTTTGTAGACTTTCATTCATTCCTCTTCCACATTCCAAGGGAGCACAGGGAGCACTGATTGTGTGACCACTTTTGTCCTGCCTCTGAAGAAGTAAGTAATTTCACTTCTATTATCTGGTGGTGTGACTGTTTGTATAAATACCTGCTCATCTGGAGAAATAAGGATCTCACACTTTCTATTTGTAGAACTTTGTCACTGGACTATTTCTCTCTTTCTCCTTCTCCCCACCCCCCCTGTCTCTCTCACACACAAAACAGGGAGTGATATACAGTGGTACCTCGAGTTAAGTACTTAATTTGTTCCAGAGGTCCATACTTAACCTGAAACTGTTCTTAACCTGAAGCACCACTTTAGCTAATGGGGCCTCCTGCTGCCGCCGCGCCGCCGGAGCACAATTTGTGTTCTCATCCTGAAGCAAAGTTCTTAACCTGAAGCACTATTTCTGGGTTAGCGGAGTCTGTAACCTGAAGTGTATGTAACCTGAAGCGTATGTAACCTGAGGTACCACTGTAAAACATTTATGTTGTACAATGTCAGTAGATAAGTTGTATTTCTCCCAAATTATCCATGAAAAATTAATGCAATTTTCCAGGGCATGGGGAATACCAGGCCCAGAGATGAAATGTGGCCCTCCAGTCTTCTCTACCTGGCCCTTGGGATTCTCCCCAAACCACATCTCTTCTCATCCACACCCCCTCTTCCCAGGCCAGACTCTAAACCAGACCTACTTCATAGAATCCTAGAATTGTAGAGTTTGAAGGAGTCCAGAGAGTCATCTAGTCCATTTGCATGTGTTGCTGCACCCATCCTTGGCCTAAGAAAAAGTTCCCCATCCCCGAAGCATACTATGTTTTCATTATTTTCTTACATTAGTTCATTCTTTATTTTTTCAGGACTCTTACTGCAGGCCTGTAAAAATATTTTGCATGCAGGTATAAGTGGTTGATAGCTAGAGGCGGACAAATATGTCAATTTTGATTGTTCTCCAGTCAAAATTTTGTTATTTGTTCCAAACTGAAGTTTGGTTCTACACCTTTCCACATCATTTTTGTGAAAATAAAAACCTCACTAGCAGTTTACTGTGAATAATATACACATTTTGGCAAAGCAATTCCCGCCAATATAATGCATTCTTCTGTGTTATTTTTACTTATAGATGCGACATACACAGTTTCCTCTACTGCATTTTTGCACACATTGCACTGCAAAAATTGGAGACATGCAAATTTCAATGTTTCAGTTTGCTAATTGTTTTGGAAAGTGAGAATTAGGTAAGAATACATTTAAATGCTAACTGATTTCTCTCTCCTCCCTTCTGAGAATATTAACAAGTGATATTAACAAGCCACAGGGTTGTTTCTGGGGACTTCAAACACTTGAGACATAGGCCCATAATGCACATTTCCATAGGAAAATTTATACATAGAGATGCTTCTGGTAAATGATGGTGGTGGCTAACTAGGGTCTTGCCAGGCTGCAAACTGAAGTGTGTCCAGCCACCCTAGAAGCAAAGAGGGGGGAAATAAGTTTCAAAAAGGGGGGAAGGGTCAAGTGATCTGTGGCCCACTGCAGATGACCCAGGGCTAGCTCTCTATTGTGTGTTTAAGATTGCAGCCCTAATCTCTTCCAGAAAACAAAACAAAACAAAAACACCACTTCTTGCCCTTCCACTGCTGCCTTTGTTGCACAAGTGACAAGGGAAGGTATTCAGCTAACTCATCCTCTTTCAAGGTTTCTAGTTAGCATGCAAAAGAAGGAAGTTGCACATCTTGTTCATGGGAAGATTATATGTTCCGGAAATGAGTACAGCACATAAAGGGCAGCAAGCGTTTACATTAACCAGAAAGATGGTGAAGGCACAGGTCACTTTGGCCAGTGCTTCTGCTGCAATACATGAAACTCCCTGAGCAAATGTTTAGCGTGGAGCTCTGTTTCACAAATGACCTTAATGAAATGAATAATATTTTCACGCCCATAAATACATATACATACAATCTGAAATGAGCAATTAAGTGTTTTCTTGTGTCTCATCATTTTCCAAGGGAAACTTCATAATTTTCAAACCACATGTGAACCAGCGTGTGTGTGTGTGTGTGTGTGTGTGTGTGTACACTTACACACACACACACACACACACACACACATATATATATATATATATACAGTGGTACCTCAGGTTACATATGCTTCAGGTTACATATGCTTCAGGTTACAGACTCCGCTAACCCAGAAATAGTGCTTCAGGTTAAAAACTTTGCTTCAGGATGAGAAAAGAAATCATGCTCTGGTGGCACAGCGGCAGCGGGAGGCCCCATTAGCTAAAGTGGTACTTCAGATTAAGAACAGTTTCAGGTTAAGAACGGACCACCGGAACAAATTAAGTACTTAACCGAAGGTACCACTGTATGTGTGTGTGTAAATATTTTTTGTATATCTATATATATCCCATAGTCGCCTTTGACTGGACTTAACCATCCAGGGGTCCTTCACCTTTACCGTGTGGGTGGGTGTGGGTGTGGGTGTAAACGAACAGGACAAAACAAATCTTGCCTCTTTCTTTTGCTCTCTCTCACTCTTCCGCTTAACAAAAACACCACCATCAACACCAAAAACCTTGAGTCTAATTAAAATCCACCACATTAAGGCCCTTTGGTTATGAAGCAGACATGGCTGTCTGAAATTTGGGAGTCTTGATATGCTTTTCCAATGATGTGTCAAGCCCATTATAGTGGAATGAGCTACTAATGTGACATTACTGACATAATGTGATGCATCTAACCACCTGAATGATGCATCAGGCAGAAGGAATTTCCGAAGGAGGCTGCTCACTCTTGCAAAATGAAAAGGGGGGAAACAATCTGGAAGAAGTGGGACATAAATCCTTTTATATAGTTTAACACAAATTTAATTATCAAGTGTTTGTAAATGTTCAACCAATTAGGCAGCTTGATTGGCTGAAGACTCCTGGATTTATAGCTTTGAAGATAGATTATCTTGTGCGAGTGAAAGGTCTACATTACACAGAGTGGTTTGCATGAGAAACAGTTGGTTAAAATGCTTGTATTAAGAGGATGAGCACTGCTCCTTTGCCTAATGAAAGGGTTTTGTGTTGTTGTTTTAAAGTCAAGTTCCCGCAAGTAGAAAATAAACAGAAGTACTACCGTCGTGTAGAAAATACATAATAACACATAATATATATATCATATAACTTAATAGGAAAGACAGATACAGATAGAGAGATACCTAGAGAGATCCCTTTTTCCATTTGAAATGGATTGTTATGGGAGCCGTCCAGCCCAAGTGAAGCTGAAGATCCCATTCAACAGAAACCAGTGGCTATTGGTTCAAATGGCTACATAGTACCTCAATGTGATGGCCTTTCTCAATCTAAAGTATGGAGGATGCCTACCAAAGGAGATGTCTTTTTTGGCAGTTACCCCCAATTGTGGAACACACACCCTAGAGAGGCTTGCTGGGCACCCACCTTTCAGCATAATGGAAAACCAAGATCCACTAGGATGAGATAATTTGGACTTGGGCCAATCTTGGGCTTTAAGTCCCCTCCCAAAGGGGTTTTTCATGGGATTGGTGAGGGTGAAGGTCAAGGAGAGACCTACACCTATTCCAAACACCATTCAGTTGAGTAATGTGACCTAGGGCCCAGTCCTCAAAACTCCAGCCAATGCTCACCTGTCAGCGCAGCCTGAAATAGCCCTTCCCAGAGGCTGCTGGAAGGAGTTTGGAATAGGGTAAATTATCCCAGCTTCCTATAGTTAGGATTGTTCTACCGTGACCTTTTCAGAACAAGGTAAAAGTGTGTTTCCCACCCAGCTCCCCGGGTCTTCTAATATCATTTTAAAATAATTTAATATCGTTTTGATATTAGTCTCTTCTAATTGATGTTGCTTGGTTTTAGCTCCCATGAGATTTTAGCTCCTTTGAGATGCGGTTTTTAGTTTTCTTATGTGTTAAAATGTTTTGTTGCTACATCTGGCGTTTTAGTCTTTTATGCTGGATGTGTTCATTGTATTTTTGTTGCATTTTAACCTTGTTTTAGTTTTTATGCATTTCATATCACCTACATTTATTTATTTATTTATTAAGAGATAACAAATAATAAAGATGCTGTGGGCTTCCCAGAGAATGGCCCATCACCTGGGAAACAGGATACTGGTGGACCTTTAGTCTGGTACCAAATTTTCTCCTTGCTGAGGGTGCCATATTCGCTCACCCCACCATTTCTGCCGCCACCAGAGAAAGGTAAGGGAGGCTGCAGCAGTGGCAGTAGGACATGGTATTCTGCTGCACAGCATTGCT